ATATTCTACTGCAGTCACCTATAGGACCGAACGATTAATTATATTAAACAATGCCATTGTTTTCAGGTTGGTGTTTGTATCAAATTCATATTGTATAGGATTCTGATTATCATAATATTCTACTGCAGTCACCCATAGGACCGAACGATTAATTATATTAAACAATGCCATTGTTTTCACGGTAGGTGTTTGTATTAAATTCATATTGTATAGGATTCTGATTATCATAATATTCTACTTCTGTCACCTATAGGACACAATGGATTATTATATTAAACAGCACTTCTCACATTTGATCATAAAATAGCACAGAGTGTTCATTACAAATACCTTAACAACTGATGTACCAATTGCGACATTTTCTTTGACAGTACTATAATATCTTGTCTGATTAAATGATGGTGGCTCATCGTTGATGTTGACGATGATTACGACAACGCTGGCAGTGCCTGAATGATAAGGTGGTGACTGATCTACTGCCATGACAACCAAACTATAGTTATTTTTGGTCTCATAGTCCAGTGCTGCATCCGTTGTGATGAGCCCAGTGCTACTGTCGATGGAAAACTCATCCATATCATTGCCGGCGGTGATGCTATAGACGACACGTCCACCATCAGACAGATCAGGATCTTCAGCAGACACAAGTATGACCGACGTTCCTTTACCGGCACTTTCGCTTAGATCAGGTCTATAGTACACTGACTGGGTGAAAACTGGTTTTTCATCGTTCACGTCATACACCATCATGCTAACACGAACTTTATATAAAAGAAACATTAAAAAAAGTTATTAAATATAAAAATATCTTTAACTTAAGTTATATGCTGAAAAATAATTTCATTTTTATCAGTATCATTTTAAAACTATTAAATACTTAAAACAGGGACTCATTAGTGAGCAGCTACTGTTGTTGGTGCAATTTTTAGTATTAGTGCGTGGGGGGGGGGGGCTTACTTCTTACATAAAGAGTGGGGAGGGGGGGTATGAGTGGGGAGGGGGGGTATGAAGCCAGACAAATATACAGGACTGGATAGGCAAACAATCCATGATTCTGAAAAACTCATCATGGTTTATGAATATTAATGAATCATGATTGAACAGAAATATGTATTTCCAACAAAAAAGACTCATCGATTTCTATATCGTATATATCGTTGGTTTGTAGTACTCATTTTAGCGTCTCTTCAATTCTATCCAAAATAATTTAATCCATAGAATCCCACTGACCTTGTGATCTGAACATATTGCTATCATTATTAGACGCTTCCACAGTTAATATATATGACTCTTCAGTTTCCCTGTCAAGTGGTTGTTCATTTCTTCTGATATCGCCATAGTTACTGTCAATCACAAAACTGTTTTGCGTGTTGCCGGCAATTATGGCGTAAGTGATCTTAGCGTTCTCACCAATGTCAGCATCTAAAGCATGTACCTGGAAGTATTAAATAAATATCGCTTAACACTTTGAGTGCCAAATTTTTTTTCGCTTAAATTTGGGTAAATTATTCACATTTTCAATAATTTTCACTGCATTTGACTTTAATTTTGGACCAAACAAAGAAAATTTGATATTGCTTCTAGTTTTTTATCAAAATTTTTGACATTTTTGCAACATTTTGAACATGAAAACGATCAGAGTATAAATAGAACTATTTTAAATACACGATACTTTAATATCATTCGTTTATAGAACATTTTGATGTCTTTCCAATGATCACAAATAAGGGACTTCGGATTTCACAACTTTCACAATTTGTACGATTGACAACTCAGTGGGTTGCACAGCATGCATTTGAAAATCTTGCTAACATATGAATTTTACATGTTTTTGTATAGGCTGCATGGAACCCCTATTGAATACGTCGAGGCACTTCCATACACAATACTTACAGTGACAATAGTATAATCCTGTGTGACATTTTCCATCACAGTAACATCATAGTTACTCTCTGTAAATATGGGTCTGTTATCATTGATGTCCAGTACGTTCACAGTGACATAACATGTCCCTGTCTTCGCATACACGCCATTGTCAATCGCCTCAATGGTCAAGTTATATTCTTCAACAACCTCTCTGTCCAAAAACGCAGAGGTTTGTACTAATCCTGACTGAAAATGGATTTGGAACTTGCCATCTTGGTTGCCATGGGTGATAAAGTAATTGATATCTGCATTGGTTCCTGCAATTTAACATATATCGTCATGACATTGACATCATACAATCGCCTCATCCTCACTCACTATAATATTTTTTTCTCAATACACATACTTATATCTACATTTTTTCATTCACATTGACAAATTGATATTCAGTCTATAATATGTACATTTTTATTTTCCACAGCCAAATCATTTTAATTAGAAATATATGTCCTTGGAAGAAAAACAAAATTAAATTGTGCACCAACAGTAATTACTGGGATCATTCGCATATGGAATGAAATTTTCTTAACCTAGGTTATTATGCAAGATAATATTATTGTAAAAACACTTATTGGCTGTGGCTGAGGACAATATTCAGAATAATCAATCCCAATTGGTCGAAGGCGGTAGTCATGCAATAACATGCATAGGTATGGCAATGTTTGATGATATCTGGTACAAATTTCAAATATCCATCATTTAAAAAATTTCTTTAAAATTCTGTCTATTCTTCTGTCTTTATTTAAATATATATTCTATATTTCAATTTAAGATGTTTATATGATCATTCTTTTGTTTTTATGCACTTTTTGTCACAAGCTGATTGTGACATTATGATACCAACCAAAAACAATACACTTGGCAAAGATTAATATTTAAATAAATCATGTGATCATGCAGTAGCCAATCGAAGCAACTTATTTTAATAAGAATGATAACACTTACCTATATCTCCATCAGAGGCAGAGAGGACAATGAGTGAAGTACCTCTAGTTGCGTTTTCCAGTACAGACACCTCATAACTGTTTGCAGTAAACAACGGACTGTGATCATTGTCATCCTCTATTTCAATCTGAACAGTTGCTATGGCAACATTGGGGTCCATTCCTCCGTCTCTTGCCTGTATGGTTATGTTGTAAGCTTGGATGTATTCTCTGTCTAATGGGTGTGTCAGTGTGATAAGACCAGTTGATGAATTCATGTCAAAATTGTTTGTATTTGGTTCCAGCGATACGATGAAGTAAGAGACGGTTCCATTCTCTCCAAAATCCAAATCAGATGCAGAGACCTGTAAATTGACAATTTTGATTTTATTTATTAAATAAACAACTGTCACAACATGCTATATTCCATTTAATATTGCACAATTCACTCTACATATGCACTCGCCACTTCTTTGTTCAACTTTAAATACAATTGTGAGATATGTATAAAAAATAACTTTGGTCTTGGTTTTATTTGGAGTTCTTTGCATAATCCTGAAAAAATCATTTTCACATGTATCTCAACACTATTCAACCCCAAAGAGCTAAGGTCGCAATGTTCTTCCTTGCAGCGCAAAATATACTTGCTGATTTCAGCTGACAACTGGCTTCACCTCATTTATGTGTTATTCACATTTAAAGTCTACTCGAAAAAAATCAATCAGCACAAAATACTACCGGGGGGGGGGGGGGGGTATCAGTTTAATAAGCTTTGGATGCATCCTCATAATTTTCCACACTACTGGTGATCAATGATATGGTGATCAATGATATCGTGATCAAGAAATAAATGTAATTTGGTCAGATCTTAGGGCTTTGGATAAATACTAGCGTAAAATAAAAAAGAAGATATTATCAAAATCAGATGGTATGCATCAATACTATTTCCCTCTGAGATAAATGAACAAATTCAATTACCTGGATTACACTGGTCCCTGCTGGCTGATTTTCCACAACACTTCCGATATATGGAGTGTCTTCAAATACCGGAACATTGTCATTGATATCCAGTACTGTCACATGCACAATAGCTGAATGGCTGCTTCTTCGTAACGGCCTTCCACCTAAATATACATAGAAAATTCAATTTGTAAATACACCTAATAAGACCCTTTAGTGAAACCTGCTACTGTGAGGTGTAAACGAATGCAAATATATGTTGTTTTTAACATCGCTGGTAATTAGATTTTTGCAAATGACTATGCAACACCATGTACTATGTAGTTTTACTCGCCTGCACAGCAACATTTGGACGCTAGAGGGCGCAATTTATTGTACTATATTTAGATGCATTTACATATTTAGCACCATTTACATATACAAATTACATCTTCATTAGATTTGACTCCGAAATGATACTTTATGTCTATTGAAGTGTTTGGAAAACATAACATTGATCTATAAGCTGTACAATGATATATTTAAACATTCACCCCGATTCCACATTACTACTGCAGTGTCTCCGCCAGCCAATTAAGGAAATTAAGGAAATCATAACTGAAACAAAGTACATACAAGTTTGTGAACTTGATAAGGAATCTAGTCTACAAAGTTATACATACTGTCTTTCACAGTGAGAATGATTTCTTGAGCTGTGTTCATTTCTCTGTCCAATGGTACATCTGTTGTTGTTATCACACCACTTGCGCTGTCCACTTTAAAGTATGGAGTGAACGGATTGATCTCGTATACCAATAACTGGTTACTACCAATATCTGCATCTATGGCTGAAACCTACAGAAAGTGTTAGGAGAAAAACAAGTAAAAAAAAACCTTCTTCACATTATTAAGGTAGCACTATGGAGGGAAAACAAGTAAAAACTGTATCTGTGATTCTCTGAAAGTTATGTTACTATAGCAACCTATACATCATTTGAAAGCTTAGATTTATAGGAGAGTATGGGAGTACAATGTTTGAATATCTGACAGCCAATTTCGTAGGTCCTAGAAATCTGGACAGCATTAAATTATAATTACAAAACTGTTTTTATTCTAATCATACCCCCTACTGTTCTCACAGTATGGTAATTTTTTCCGTACTTTATGAACATTTCACAACATCTGTGCAGTGAAACAGCTGCAGACACGATGTACGTCTTGTGAAGGACTGATGATAAAATCGCCACCTTCCTTTCCAATCATAAAAAAAATCAAATATTTTGTACCTGAAAGACGTAAGTTCCATTATCAACATCTTCTGATATCGTTGTCATATATGGCTCATCAATCCATATTGGGTCATTGTCGTTGACATCACGTACTATGATTGTAACGTAACACACCGCACTGTGTCTAGGTATGCCTCTATCACTTGCTATCACTGTTAACCCATACATGTCAATATTTTCACGATCTAGTTGTCTTTCTAAAATAATCTCTCCTGATCCTACTCTCTTCATGTTAAATGAACCTAAAAAAAATCAAGAAGAGGAATATTTTTGGAAATTATATGTCGGAAAGAAATTATTTCAAAAACAGTTTTCCCTTGCAATATAACAGGACATTAAAACCATTATAGGACTCCATGAAAATTGTAGTGAAGTCAAATAGAGCATGCGTATGGAACACAGCCAGTAGTGTGCACATTAAAGAAATGTGCATTTCACATGAACTTGCTTGAATCATGTGTAGCATTCACATGAATATTACCGATACACAATCATTCATGAAAGTCACATGAAATCCACATTAAGATTGGATGAAGTTCGCACGACGCCTGAATAAAACCTGCATGAAATCTGCATGAATACTATATGGAGTCTGTATGAAACCCACAGAAAGCATGTGGGGAAAAACCAGGAAATCCAAACAAAACATCCGCAAATCCCACATAAAACCTGCATAAAATCTGCATGAATACCATATGGAGTCTGTATGAAACCCACAGAAA